ATTGCGACCAAAAACAGCATCGCATGAACATTGCTAATGAGATGTTGGACTCTGTCCGCGACGACCCAAATTTGCTCCAGAGGGTCATAACTGGTGACGAAGCGTGGGTTTATGGTTATGACGTAGAAACCAAAGCTCAATCATCTCAATGGAAGCTGCCGCACGAACCAAGATCGAAAAAAGCGCGCCAAGTCGGTCGAATATGAAAGTTTTGCTGACAATTTTCTTCGATTGCAGGGGCGTGGTGCATCATGAGTTTTTGCCACAGGGTAGAACGGCCAATAAGAAATATTACCTGCAAGTTATGCGCAATTTGCGCGAAGCAATCCGCCAGAAACGCCCGGATTTGTGGAAGAACAAAAATTGACTTTTGCACCACGATAACGCCCCTGCTCACACATCGTTGCTTGTGCGCGACATTTTGGCCAAAAACAACACACTAATGATGCCGCAGCCACCGTATTCCCCAGATCTGACCCCTGTGACTTTTTCTTGTTCCCTAAACTGAAGAGGCCCATGAAAGGACGACGTTACGCTACGCTTGACGAGATAAAGACGGCATCGAAGTAGGAGCTGAAAAAGATTTTAAAAAATGATTTTTTGAAATGCTTCGAAGATTGGAAAAACCGTTGGCACAAGTGTATAATATCTCATGGGGATTACTTTGAAGGGGACAAAATAGGTATTCATGAATAAATAAATAATTAAAAAAAAAAAACACAAAAGTCGCGATACCTTTTGAACACACCTCGTACATACTGATATTACCAGTTCAACAGTTTGTCAGAAAAGTTGAGAATATTGTTAAAAATGAAAAAAATGATGATAAAAAGACACACAGTGTTTGTTAACATCTCTTAACCAATACTGTACTTAGCTGGTGAATCTTTGTCAAACTTTGATTTTTCACTCTTTATTTCTTTCTCGGACTCTGAAACTTGTGTGTATGTAAGACAATTATAATATAATTATATATTTATAATTGTTTTTAATTCTGTTTTCCTCAAAGCTTATGTCCATAGTTAATCTAAAATACCCATTCCAAGAGTCTAGCATCAGTATAACTATAAAAGGAAGTTCCAAAAATGTAATATAACAGCGGTATGGTAGATTAAACTGGCGAAACCGCTGGGAGAGTTCACCACTGATGAGCCAGGCCCTCTCATTAATTTTTCCATTGCAGTATGGGCAGTAGAAATTGTTTTATTTGAAAAAGAATCATACACGTCTATAATAGTTTCGTATTTTGATAACAGATGGCGCGCTAATGCATCACAAACTAACTTATTAAAAAGATTTTGCTGTTGTTTATCGTACAAATACCTTCAGAGCGCTAAACCTGCGAATAATTTGTTAAAGTGTTGAAAGAGACCAAAGGTAGACGCGACAAGTATCTTTATATGAAAGTGTGCGAGCTTTCGGACAAAGACGTCCTTCAACAGGACATTACACGAATACAAGAAACTAGAGAAGAAATTTGCATAAAATCTACATGTATAAATATATATATTATGATGCATTAGCTCGTCATCTGTTATCAAAATTCGAAACTATTATAGACGCGTATGATTCTTTTTAAAAATAAACAATTTCTACTGTGCTTACTGCATTGGAAAAAATAATGGGAGGGCTTGGCTAATCAGTGGTGAACCCTCTCAGCGGTTTCGTCAGTTTAATCTACCAGACCGCTGTTATATTGCATTTTTGGAACTTCCTTCTATACTCATACTGATGCTAGACTCTTGGAATGGGTATTTTATAAGAACTATGGACATAAGCTTTGAGGACAGTAGAATTACATATATTTATAAATATATAAAATGCTTCGAGCAATCGCTCTTCCGAAAATATAAATTTGTGTCTTTTATTATAACAAATATAAATATAGTATATTTTAAACTGTATAATAATGACACTTTCTATTTACTACCACCCCATGTTTTGTATATATGCTATATCTTTATTAATAATACCTGTAAACCCCTATTTGTATGTAAAACTAAAAATGTTGACGTCAAAATAAAGATCCAAAGAGTGTTCGGCCAGCTGGTGGCAGGGACAGAGGGGGTTAAAATAGCAACGCTCAGCCCATGTGTGGTACCGAGGGACATTCTTAAAGACGACCCCCCTGTGAACAGCACAGGTTTTTGGCAGGGGGTCAGCAGGAGATGGTTCTAGGGTGTGGCCATCGCCAGACGGCTTCTGTCTCACACACTCTCCCTCCATGTCTCGGTGATAAACATCAAAGTTGGTGTCATGGCCTCTACCTCTGTCCCGTGGGCTATCCCCGATCCCTCTTTGTGCTAACATCTAGCCCTGCCTCTGCTTCTTGTTGTCCGCGTGTGGGAAGATCATCAACACTCGCTTCACGTACACGACTGCCAGTTCATCCATACGTAGGCACATTGCAACAATATTACAGAAAGTCGACAGGATAACTGAGGACAGCGGCATGCAGAGGATGACAGAGGCACCGGTGGTCAACGTCGCATTCATGTGGATGCTCCTTCTACTTGCCCTCCATCTTGACGATCCAGTGGACCATCTCAAAGACGCCATGCGAGGACTAGCTGTACCTCACATCGAGCAGGTCATCATCGCCCCCATCGACATCTCCTGCGCCACGAACATCTTCCACCATCGGCTCGAACAAGCAGACATGATTCGTCGAGAAATCCTCGCATTGCCTCGCTTACCAACAACGACGATGTCTCATGGCAACCACCGCAAAAAGTGATCACCAAGCCTCATCGCAGCCCTCTCCATAAGATCCATCCAAGACATCATCCATCTGGTAGGAGAAATATCTCTACAGAACTCTATCAACGTAACACTTTCTCCGTTTTTTTTCTCCGCACTAAATTAACTATTCAATCGATTTATAGCAATAGCATTTTTATTATAAATTCATTAAGTTCTTCATTTTACCTGCCCCAATGCTATTTAAATTAATACAACTTAAGATATGTATAAAATATTTCAACATTAATCAATTATATAATTATTTGTTATAATTTTATGTGCTATTCAGCCATTATTAGCAATGCCGTCAGCCATCAACAACTAATTTTTTCCCCTTCAAATCGTAATATTTACCATCTCTAGGCTTATTACACACATATTATAACTTCAACCATCTTTCTCATCTTTTTAAACTTTTAATATATTGACAAAGTTAATAATATTTTTAAATTGTTGAGATCTTATTATTTATATATTTTATCCATTTCGTTTTTCTAATTATATCGTTGACGTATCCTAACCTACCCTGCCCATACATTCTCATGCATTGCCCCAGGGGCTTCCTGTTCGCCAATTTTTTTTTCATTGATTAATCCAACTGAGAAATCCTTCCTCGCTATATCATTTCCAATAGTGAGTTCAGGATACCCAGCTAGATTATTTTTCTTATCACCCGGCTCATCATTACCAATCATCATTTTTTCTTTTTTTTTATATATTACCATTCAAGTCGGGTGAAATAATCATTGGCAACAGAACAACCCTTGCAACCACCTTCTCTTTCTTCATTCCTAAATCCCATATATTCCCCTCAAGAGATTCTTACTCGCCAGATTTTTTTTTTTATTAATCCAACTGGAAACATCCTTCCTCGCTATATCGTTCCCAATAGTGAGCTCAGGATACCCAGCTAGATTCTTTTTTTTTTTCTTTCTTTTTATTACCCGGTTCATCATTTTTATCATTTTATCATTTTTATCTTTTTTTTTCATCATAAAACCGGGTACCATCATTATTGGCAGCAGTACTACTCTTGCGTTTACCTTTACCTTTCCACATTCTTCAACCTACATACCTCTCCCTGCTAGTCTGAACTAAAAATGCTGACGGAACATATTGAACGTTCTGTTAATGAAAACAGTACCTCACTAACACAAGTTCGTACTGCATTGCAGAACTCATTAAGCTATTTCTTTTCACATACTCAGACATCCCATATACTCTCATCAACCCTCTGCGTCAACTTATAATCTTAGTTCAACTTAATAGCTTTATGCTTTTAGTTATTTTTTCATTCAATAGGTTCTCAATTTTTTTTCTATAAGTAAATTATTTTTGCGGCATTTCTAATTTTACTTTGTATATTTTCTCAATTTTATCATTTATTCTTATGTGTTTTTCTTTCATCATATTCTATATATTATTGAGACGTCATCATTATATTATTGTCTTATTTTATACTCCTATATTTATAATAATTTTAACTAATTTTTGCCCAAATTATTTCTTTTGTTTTATAATAGGTTTGTTAGGTCATCATTCATGTTATTTCATTTCCCCCAAACAAACCTTCACATCACCGGGGGCACATTCTATAGTATATTTTAAACTGTATATTAATGACACTTTCTATTTACTACCACCCGATGTTTTGTATATATGCTATATCTTTATTAATAATACCTGTAAACCCCTATTTGTATGTAAAACTAAAAATGTTGACATCAAAATAAAGATCCAAAGAGTGTTCGGCCAGCTGGTGGCAGGGACAGAGGGGGTGGAAAAATCCTGCAATTCCTTCTATTGTAATATGTGAAAGTATTACTACACCAGGTGATGAGCCAGATGACTAGCTACCTAGAAGATTTCCCAAGGCAATCAACAGGTAAACAAGGCATTGAACAATGGACCAGTGAAAAAGACAAAACCGTCGCGTTAACAAAGGACTTTGGCTAATTAAGGTTAGGAAGAAAGCTTCCAGCTTTCCCACTATCATTTTGTTATTAATTGTTTTTTTTTATTTTAGAGAACAAAAGATAGAACCTCTTCTCCGCACATTGGACTTTGTTTACGAGATCTTTAAACATCTAGAGCAATACATTTCTTTATAAAACGAAATGTGAAAATTATCCCACATGTGTTTCTTTTCAACGAAAAATCAAAATATTTTTAAAGGAGAAATAACGATTATTTCTAACCTTATGGATGAGGTATGAAAGGATGAATTGTGAGGAGTAATGATAAACGGAAAAATAAAAATGTCCAGGGATGGGAATCGAACCCACAGTGTTCCGCTTACCGGGCAGATGCCATGTCCACTAGGCACTATTTTTCCGTTTATCATTACTCTTCACAATTCATCCTTTCATACCTCATCCATAACGACGCAATTATCCCTAGCCGGGATATCGCGTTTGTGTGTTGAAATAAATAAATAAATACCTCACCCCTAAGGTTAGAAATAATCGTTATTTCTCCTTAAAATAAATTTTGATTTTTCGTTGAAAAGAAACACATGCGGGATAATTTTCAAATGTCGTTTTACAACCAAAAGCCGCATTATATTAAATTGTATTATTACTTTTATTCTGATCAAATTGGCCGAGATTTCAATCGAAAATATCTTTATCAAGGCTCTACGTGAGATAGAAACACTTACTTAGTCCTATAAACAGATTTTATTTGTAGTAAGAGGCCATGATGAAAAGATTTGACTTGGAACCTAACCTAATTTCATCAGAATAACTGAATAAAATATATTCTAACATCAAACAATATGTGTAAAAAATATAGCTTAATATATATGTGATGAAGTCTGGTTGACTCTTGTAGAATCCTGTCGACTAAATATGTGGTGAGGTATCCAGTCGACTTATTCTATGGTGTGAGTCCCTGTAACTCTCGCTATACTGTGTTGACCGAGAGGAACAGTCAGGATGGGGAGTTTTCCAGTACATCTCTGCACCTTGGTAGACCTTTTACAGTTCTCACAAAGTACCGGCAGTCGTGGTCGAGGCAGAGTGGAAAGCTTGGGAATGTCCATACACAAAAAACGAAGACACAGTTGCACTAAGAAAGTTCCGTGAACAGATAAAAGTTGAGCTAGGAGCAAAAGATGGAGATAGAAGAGTTCTTACTGACTACATGGTGGGTAAGGTGGACCTGGGGTACAACCGACGTGGGCTCACGCAGATGGTGAAGTGACTGTATTTTTGGCTAGGACGGAGGCTTTATATACCTTTTCTGAGAAAGGGAGTATTGCATTTCACCAGTTGTGAAGAGCGTGGATCGTCTGGTGAAATTCTAAACTGGCGCCTTCCTGACAGTTTCAAATCTATCTTTAGATGTTGTTTTGTGACTGCTATATGCTCGATCTCTGCGTTAGCTCAACTCTTAATCTATTACAGAGTTTTATTTATTTATCCTCAGTTTGTACAAAGTTCATGTTGATGTAATGACACATGTCAATAATGCGTATAATCATTTACAGATGTGTTTCAATTATACAACATGAAATTCTTGTTATAAGTTATAAACAATATGGGGTTGTTAGCTTAAATTACCATATATATATATATATATATATATTAAGTTGTTAATGTGATACTCCTGTTGAAGGACTAACAAGTCCGAAAGCTTGAAAATAAAAAAGTTGTACAAGAAACCTAACCCTGGAATTTTGAGCCCAAAAATGAATGTAGCAAGCAGACAAACCGCAATGCATTATATCAAAATACCAAGGTGCTCAAAAAAGGTTAAATATTTATATATAACTAGCGAACCCGGCCACGCCTTGCTGTGGCTAAATTGTAATATGTTAAATTAACATTATACTAAACTATTCAGTACAGTAAAGTTAATATTCACTTATAAAGATAAAAATGTTTCAGCCGATCTAAAGCCCTACGGGATTGAGAATGGAACGTTACGTTAAATTTTGAAAGTGATTTTTATATAAATAGATAATATAGCCCTTCATTGTAATCATTGATTATAATCACTGCATTAATAAATGTCAGCGAACTTGTTTATATGTATTGTTTTTTTGTTTTCGAGATATTCTAATAGAACGCTCTCACATTTTCTGTAAAATATTTATATATGCACAAACACAGAATATAATCACTATGTCTTAATTTCGCTATAATTATCGCTATAAATATTATTCTAAAATAATTCGCCAGAAATCGTCCTGATAGTATACTAAACAACTTCCCAAAGTTTCATGGCAAACATCTAAAATAAAATAATACTTTTAATACTTTGCTACAATATTAAAAAGAGGGGGGCTTAGGTGTTAAAAGTGTAAAATGTGCTCTAAATAGTATTACATAGAGCCTTCATATCAAACATATTTAAAATAAACCAATCAAAATATAATAATGCTGTAAAAACAGACCTTGCTACAATAATATAAAAGAAATGAAAATAAAAAAAGACACCCACGCTGAGTCTCGAACCTAGGTTTGTTACAAATATTATTAAAAAATTGTTTATGCTAATTTTTATTTTAAAAAGCCTACATTTTAAATAAAAAAATATGTTCAATAATTTGCTACAATAATATAAAAGAAATGAAAAAAAAAATACCCACGCTGAGCTTCGAACCTAGGTTGCGGGGGTACGAAGCTGTGTACCTAACCTATAGGCTAAGCTTGACGTTACAAATAAGCTCATGCGAGGCTATTTCAGGCCACACGTCTACCGCGAGGGGGCGCTGATTGCGAGTGAATTTACGTTGTATTGTAAATAAAAATGCAACGAAAGTTTATTTCTAAAGAGTAATTAGCCAGAAACCATCCCGGTAGTATACTAAACATCTTCCCAAAGTTTCATAACGATTGGTTGAGCGATGTAGAAGATTATCACTGACGAACGGACGGACGGACGGACGGACCAACGGACCAACAAACATCCATTTTTATATATATAGAAGATTGGTTAGTGACAGCTCCTTAAATTTCTTGAGGACTGTAATTTTGTTCCTGTATAAGGCTCCACTCTGCTGCTGCCTACCTCGTGTATTCCCATCAATCCAACACACCAACACTATGAGACACACACACTTTATTTAAACAACTAAACTATTTATAGGGGGGGAGAAGTCCGACCACACCTCCCTGCGGTCCCTCCTGGACCCTTGGAATATTCGACCAAATTCTGGTTCGTTTCCAAGGTGACTAACGTGGCAACGGCATCCATTTTCCAATGAAGAGAAAAACCGATATCTCCAGCAATGCTACCGCGTCCGGGGTAACCGCCGCGTCAGGAGCTGCAGCCCGGGCTCCTTATGAGAAATCTACTACGAGGACACAATTGAATCTACTACAGCTCAATATAAATGGCACCCAGAGGAAAACTGAAGAGCTGACTTGTCTTCTCCGGGACAACAATGTGCATATTGCTTGTCTCCAGGAGACAAAATTGATTCACAATCTGAGATTCAATATCAAAGGTTATACCACACTACGAAAGGACAGACCGGGAAAATTTGGAGGAGGACTTGCCGTTTTGATTAAAACACCAGAAATCAAATTTAAGGAAAGCGCCTATAATCAGAGTAAGCCTACAGAAAGCACGACAGAAGCTCAGGCAATAGAAATCTACCTCCCAGAAAAAACAATAACAATCATAAATGTTTATCACCCCGATAACACTAGCATCAATACAGGCCTGATAGAGACATTAAGTGAAGCGTCTTCGGATATCACAATCATACTTGACGATTTTAACGCCAAAAGTCAACTTGGGGATCACCTGTTCAGGATAACAAAGGTCAGCAGGTTGAGGACATGCTAACCGACCTCGAGCTTACACCGTTAAATAATGGAGAGAACACCTATCTATCCAAGTCCACAGGAACATAATCCGCAATAGACATCACAGCGATAAATTACAACATCGCACCCACAACACAATGGAAAATCTTGAAAAGTGCAATCAGTGACCACAGACCAATTTTAACAACCCTAAACTTCAAAATTGAGAATGTCCAACAAAATAAAAGATCATGAAACTTTAGGAAAGCCGACTGGATAAAATTCACAGAAAAGCTCGAAGAACTGTGCAAAGAAGAATCAAATTACAGAGCGCTTGACAAAAACTTGGAAAAATTCTCTTCGAACATATCCAAAACTGCAAAAGCATCGATACCTAGAGGCAGACGTAAAGACCTGTGGATACCTTTCTGGAAGGACCACAGCATCGAGGCAATGATTGCAGAGAGAGACAATATCAATGATTTTCTCAAAACAAATAAAACAGAAGAAAACAGAAAGAAACTCATTGAAATTAGTCACAAATAGAACAAGAAATTTGGATATGCAAACAAGAAAAATGGGCAGAATTCTGCGAAAAAATGGATCCAAGAAAGGACAGCCAACACTGTAATATAATTAGAGTGTTGGAAAACAATCAAAACCAACACCAATCCTCCAATACTCTAACCGATATGAAACAGCGAGAACGAACAAACAGATGTCTGACATAATTGCTGAATATCTTTCAAGCACTTCCAGACTCAACTACACGAATGAAGACAGGACTCTAAAAAATAATATAAACAAGTTAGTTAAACAAGCAAGAAATTACCATCAACAAGATATTTTTTCGAGAGACTTCACACTGAATGAGCTAAACTCATCAATAGAAAAGTTAGATCCCAAGAGGTCACCAGGAGATGATCTATTCTTTGGTCAAATGATTAAACACTTTGGAGACAAAGCTAAAAATCAACTCCTACGAATACTGAACATTTCATGGCAAACTGGTAAACTACCAAAGGATTGGAAGATATCAATTATAGTGCCAATACTGAAACCAAACAAAGATGCCAAGGAATGCAAGAATTATCGGCCAATTGCTCTCACCAGCATACTTTGTAAAATAACAGAACGAATTATCCACTCTAGGCTCATAGTCTGGCTCACTAACAATAATAAAATAAACTTCTACCAAACTGCCTATAGATCCAGACACTGTACAACTGATCAACTGTTCTACTTCTGCCAATCAATAATAGATTCTTTCCAGGAAAAACCAACAAAGAAGACAACGGCCGTATTCCTGGATATGACCTCAGCTTTTGATCGAGTGTGGAGGGAGAAATTACTTGAAAGGCTGCACAACATCGGAGTAAGAGGAAAAGCCTTAATCTGGATTGCAGACTTCTTAAGGGGAAGAAGGATAAAGGTTCGAGTTAATGGAGCATTTTCCAAGGACAGAAGAACATGGGCTGGTGTACCTCAGGGATCTGTGCTCAGTCCTTTACTCTTCCTGCTATATATTAACGACATCCATCCTTACCTCACTGAAGACACAAAGGT